GAGTAGAGTAGAGTAGAGTAGAGTAGAGTAGAGTAGAATAGAATAGGAATAGAATAACAGAGTTGGAAGGGACCTTGGAGGACTTCGTAGGTAGGAAACCATACAAATGGTTATCCAATCTCCTTAAAAACTTCCAGCATTGGAGCATTTACAACTTCTGGAGGCAAGTTGTTTTATTTATTAATTGTTCTAATGGTCAGGAAATTTCTCCTCAGTTGTAAGTTGCTTCTCTCCTTGATTAGTTTCCACTCATGGCTTGTTCCACTCTCAGGTGCTTTGGAGAATAGTTTGACTCCCTCTTCTTTGTGGCAACCCCTGAGATATTGGAACACTGCTATCATGTCTCCCCAGTCCTTCTTTTCATTAAACTAGACATACCCAGTTCCTGCAACCATTCTTCATATGCTTTAGCCTCCAATCCCCTATTCATCTTTGTTGCTCTTCTCTGCACTCTTTCTAGAGTCTCCACAGCTTTTTACACCGTGGCTACCAAAACTGAAGGCAGTATTCCAAGTGTGGCCTTACCAAGGCATTATAAAGTGGTATTAACACTTCACGTGATCTTGATTCACATTTTGTTTTGTTTTATAAAAGAGGATTGAGAGGTCAGCAGTTAGAAATGGGTTAGTTAACTTATCTCTATTAGATTCATCATCACCATCATCCCTTGCAAAAGTACATAACCTTACTTGCAGAACTTGAATAAAATTTTCTCGAAAACCAGTACTGGTCCGGTACTTCCCAAGATGGTGAGAGGCTGGCCAGCAAAGAGAGAGTAGACCACTCCAGTGAGCGAAGCTCCAAGCAAGGATTCTATAGCACTCTGCAGGTTTGAGCACAAACAGAAGAAAAGAAGGGCTGTCATAATGGGTCAGGCTGACAGTACATGCAGCCATTCCCTCTTTAGGATTCAGAGGTCAGAAAACAGGGTATTTAATTTAATTGCTTTAATTTCTTCTCTCTATGAATTATCATTAAAGACAGGTCAAGGTGACCAGTTGGCTGAACTCTGATTAGGGGCATCTGAACTAACATTCTTCTTCCCTTCACACATTTATTTTAATTCAGGAGACAGATCTGATGTGATGTGGGAAAAGCAGCACTTTTGCCATATGTCACATAGCCACATTGAGAAAAATGACAGTGTTGGCAAATTCAGTTTCTTATCTTCTGAAATGGAAGGTGCTTCTCAAATTAACTTCTACTGAAGATTAATATTCTAAATAGCTGCCCTTCTTTATGTTCATGAAGGTTAATTCCCCCTAAAAACTGCAATAAACATTCTAAAGATGAACGAAATGAATGAATGAATCCATCAATCAAACTGTCCAGGATTTAACTGTGAATATGAAAGATTGGTTGAAATATATCCAGCTAACTAATTTTAATCTCCTCTTCCAAAAAAGTAATTATAGTATGTGCCTTATATTAGAAATGAATATCTGAAGGCCACATTTTTTGTAGGGGTGCAGGTTTAAAATTCTATTAACAGGACATAGAAAATGAATGGGGTAATTTTTGCATCAACAGTGCCTTGTACTTCTATACATAAGGCATGCTGAAGCTACTTCATCAATTTCTTCCAGTAAGAAAAAAAGAGAAGATGGGAAACATAGGAAGTCCAGAAATTTCTGAGGCCCTTGTAAAATTATGTGGATGGATCACCACACACTTAAAACCTTGATGAAAAAAATGCACTAATGGTTTAAAGCAATGATCTAATAATGCAAAATAGTATACAGACCAACAGGGGTGAGGTTATATATCCACTGCTTTTGTAATTCTGGTTTTGTTGTCACCTACCTTGACAATTATTCATAACACATAAAAGGAAGGAGGGGAAAATGTTCTTACTATTTCTCCCTCTGTTGCTTCTCCAAGCAGGCCCCCAAAGGTGATCACAGGAGACATACTGGCACAATACAGGAAGAGAAAGGAAGCTAAACACTGCAAATTCAAAGCATCTTTATAGTCGCTCCAGTACCAAGGAGCTTTCCGTTTTATATCCAAGATCAAGCCACCAAAGAGCCTGAAAAGCAAGGATAGAAATTTCAAAGATACGGTGGATTCACAGCAATGGGTTAAATATAATAACAACATGGCTAGAGATAAACGATTTCCAAACACATAATATGGAAAGTGGAGTGGCAGCTCTTTGCCTTTGACATATTCGTCCCATTATTTGTCCACAATTCTTGTTTATATAAGCTTGCATTTGATTCAAACTGTGCTGTGTTACATGCAAAGTTATGGAATCAATTATAAACCAATCCATCGTTCACCACTTAAAGACAAACAACTTGCTATCCGACAAACAGTTTGGCTTTAGGAAAAATTCGTCCTGTAATTTACAACTTTTCCACTGTAAAAAGATCTGGACTACATGTCTTGATCAAGGTAAAGCTTAGGATGCAATTTGCATAGATTTTTGTAAGGCTTTGAATACAGTAGTACATCATAAACTGCTGCTGAAATTAAACTTTTCTGGACCTTTGCACAAGTGGATTGCTGCTGTTCTGTCTGATAGACTGCAAAAAGTCAAAATAGGGAACTCGCTGTCTAATCCTGCGTCAGTTAGCAGTGGTGTTCCGCAAGGCAGCGTTTTAGGTCCCACATTTTTCCTGTTGTATATCGACGATTTATGGGATCAACTTAAAAGCAATTGCGTTCTTTTTGCCGATGATGTAAAATTATTGAATACTGCAGATAATTCTGTTGTTTTGCAAAGGGATCTTGAATATGTGTCTGAACTGTCATCTATTTGGCAGCTTCAAATTTTGATTAATAAATGTCTTACATATTGGTAAACATAATCAAAATGTCCAGTATAAGCTAGGTGGTACTGATCTAGCAGATGAGCCTCACTTTATCAAGAACCTAGGTGTATTTATCTCTGACTATCTATGCTCCAAAATTCACTTTAACAGCATTGCTTAAAAAAAAAGCATTAAGAATTGTAAATTTAATTTTGCGAAGCTTTTTTTTCTGGAAATATTATATTGCTAATTAAAGCTTATAAAACCCATGCTAAACCAATCTTATAATATTGTTCAACTGTCTGGAATCCCCACCATCTATCAGACATCAGTACAATTGAGCAGGTTCAGAAGTATTTCACAAGAAAAGTTTTGCACTCTTCTATACACAATAGAATTCCCTACGTTACTAGGCTCAAAATTCTTGGTTTGGATAACTCAGACCTGTATCACTTGCGATCAGACCTAGTGTATTGCATAACAAATTATACTTAATAATGCTTCACCTGTAAATGATTTTTAATCGCAATAATACACGCACAAACAACTGCTTTAAACTCAATGTAAATCATTCTAAGCTTGACTGTAAAAAAATATGATTTCTGTAATAGAGTGGTCAAAGTCTGGAATGTTCTATTGATCCAGTTGTGTCAGTGACAAATTTTCAGTTTCAGTCACAAATTGACATCCGTGGACCTTAATTCATACTTAATCGGTCAGTAGAGGGGGCTTGTATAATTGTACTAATGTGCCTATCGTCCCTGTCAATGTATTTTTTTTCTTTTATTCTTGTTTGACAAATTCTAATAAAAAAAAAAAATACTGAGATTCCTCTGTTCCATACTACCAGGACATTTTCTTTCTCATTATAGTCCTCAGTGCTAGCAAAAGTGATCTGGGCCAATTCTTCAAAAGTTGTCCAGATATCGCCATCCTAAATCTACCAGTACTGCAAGTACTCCTAGACTTACAGCCATTCATAGACATACAACAGTTCAAAGTTACAGTGGTACTGAAAACTACACTACAACTCACACAGCAGTCCCACGGTCATGTGATAAAAATTTAGGCACTTTGTATTTATAATGGTTACAGCATTCCAGGGCCATCTGATTCCCCATCTGCAACCTTCTTCAATGGCTTCTGACAAGCAAAATTAATGGGGGGGGGGGCAAATTTGCTTAACAGCGTAATTCATTTAACTTAACTGTGATTCACTTAGCAACCATAGCAAAATAGGTTGTAAAAATGGGTGTGACTCACTTAACAACTGTCTTGATTAGGAACAGAAATTCTAGTCCCAATTGTGGTAGTACCTCGAGGACTACCTGAATCTAGTTCATAAGGTGTCACTGAGTTTTTAGAGCTCTTGTAATGAAAAATGGGAAAATTTCCTTTAGTAAAAGTTTGGACAGTATACGGCCCACAACCACTACTTCTGCAACCATGCAAAAACTCTTGCATGCAGTTTGTAGTAATAACCTGTTTCCCTAAAAATAAGATCTCCCCGGATAATAAGCCCAATTGAGCTTTTGAGCACATGCACTAAAATAAGCCTTCCCTCGAAAGTAAGCCCTCCCCCAAAATATTGCAAAACAGCAGCAGCCATGAGGTGACTACGCTCACCGCCTCCTGCACCTCAAAAATAATAAGATCTTCCAAAAAATAAGGCCAAGTGCTTATTTCAGGGGTCAAAAGAAAATAAGACCCTGTCTTCTTTTCGGGGAAACACAGTAGTGTTGGGCAAAATGAAAGTCTTACAATTTTGGAAAAGTTATTTCATTTATTTATTTATATTTCACACTTCTTAACCGCTCATCTCCCTCTTTAATAATGATTGGACTCTGCCAATGTTTTTATTATTATTATTCTAGAGGGGAAAATCAGCATCTTAAGCTAGAGGCATTTAACCTCTTAAAACACTCCCAAAATAAGTCAATAATTTCAATCTCTCCATTGCATTGATGCAAGGATGTCATTGGCCATGTCCCCTGCAGGCCCCAGAGGTCAAATACTTTTTAAAATGCAGTACTAGCTAGTAAAAAGATTGCTTATCGCTGCTTTGGAAGAAGACTCCCATAACTCACTTTCCTGTTCTCTTGAGCTCTGGCCCCTCGTGATCCTCCATCTCATCATCACAAATCTTTCCATTAGAGAAGTTTGGCGTTCCTCGCATCTTCCTCTTATACTAATAAAAAGGAAGTATGACAAATTAACATGATTCTGCTAGTTTTTGAATCAGTGCACGGCAGGCAGAGTGGCCTTTAAAAAAAACAACCAACAATTTCAAATTGGAGGCTAAACCTAATCTTACAACTGCAACGTTACTGTCAGGGTTCCAAGTCCCCAATGAAAAAAGAGTCAGAGGTTTGAGATTTCTCAAAGTTCCATTTTATTAGAGCTGTCATATTGGCACATCTGGAAAAAAACGAATTTGAAAGTTTCCAAGTTTTCCCCACCCAAGTTGAAAGTTGAAGTCCCTGCCCAGCACCCACACATCCATCACATGGTCCAATCAGGCACCGTCCCAACTGGAGATGCCTCCCAGTCATGCCACTCCAGGTGCCGGCCAGGATGACCTTGACTTTCTGAGAAAGGAATGTTATTTTGACTCTATCTACCCCACTCCATATAATGCTCCCTCCCAGTTTCCCACAGCAATAATTGTGGCAGGCCTGAAGGCCAACGCAAAAGATGACTTCCAGGCCTGACAACTACTGTATATCAAAAGCCATATAAATGTCATACAGGTAGTCCTCGATTTACAGTCATTCATTTAGCGACTGTTCAAAGTTACAACAGCACTGAAAAAGTGACATAACCATTTTTCACACTTACAACTGTTGCAGCATTCCCAGGGTCACAAGATCAAAATCTGGACACTTGGCAACCAATTCACATTTATGATAGTTGCAGTGTCCCAGGGTCATGTGATTCTTTTTGCAACATAAAAGGATAGCTAATTTAAGGTCGTAACATGACTGACTAATTTAAGGTCATGAAATGGGGCAAAACTCACTTAACAATGTCTCTCACTTAGCAATAGAAATTTTGAGCTCAATTATGGTCATAGGTCGAGGACTACCTGCAATTTCATTTGCACACAATTAGTGTTTTTATTATTATTATAGATAGATAAGATAGATAGATAGATAGATAGATAGATAGATAAATTTATTTATAGGCCGCCCTTTTCCCTGAGGGGACTCAGGGCGGCTTACAACGTATAGGGAAGGGAGTACACACAATGACATATAAAAACAGTACATAATTTAAAAATAGAAGCAACATTCATCATTCATCGGGAGGGGACGGATCATAATCTTTAACCCCTTTAACCCCAGGCCTGACGAGATAGCCAGTTCTTGAGGGCTGTGCGGAAGGTCTGGAGGGTGGTGAGGGTACGAATCTC